TGTTTAACCTGCATTATGATTAATAGCCTTTGTAGTTCTGTTCATGTATTGGAGATGATTGAACATTTGTATATTGCATGCAAGATTTGCGAAAAAAACTTTATTAAAGACAAGTATGAAAATCATGAGTGCAAAAAAGATCATTTATTAAATAATTCCAGCACAATAGTTGATGATTTATTTAAAGTTGATAAGTCAAGTCATATTCCACGTAATATTGAAGATGCAGTGTTGCATGTAATTAAACAAAAAATGGAGAATTCAAAAACAACTACAATTGAATTTTTATCTGGTGGCCCAAGAGTAAGAGTAATAATATTTGTAAAGTACATTAATATAAAACTTAAACTGTAGAATTTCTTGTCTGGAATTTTGAATATTCATAATGATAAAGATTGCTGATATTAGGTTTATGTATTGATATATATTTTTATTTTAAAGCCCCTTTGCTTAACTGTTATGCCCAAAGCCTACAAGGAAAGTGCATCTTGCAGTGGTCATACCTTGAGAAAAAGACACAAACACCTAGTGGACCAAGCTAATCATCAAGTTGGAAATTCAAAAGAATCACTAGTAGTGCAAACATCAGTTATGCTTAAATCATTTGATCACAATCAAAAAAATAAAGTTTTAGAAAGTGCTAAGATTGGAGTTGTTGAGTTTTCTGCTGAAGAATTGGTTGCTTTTAAAGCAAATGTAGGGGTACCGTGGAATAAATTAAAAACTATGACTAGGTAAAATTATTTTTTTAAATATTTATTGGTTAGTTTATTTATTAGTGTTAATTATTTAGAGATTAATGTTAATTGATTTATTATTTAAGTGAATGTAGGTGTATATTTAAAAATGCATGCTTTTATTAATTTACATAATAATGCATATATAAGTAAGCAGTATGAAAAATAATTTAGTGAAAAAAATGAATAAGTGTTATTTACTAAATATTGTAGATGGTTAAATTCAAGAAATATTAAGACTGCTTCAAACTTTAAACAAAGAGTAGTTGCAAATACCTGGGCAGGAAATGATCTTGTTGTATTAAATGGAGATTTTACATTTCAAAATGAAAATAATAAGTCAGTTTTTGAAATCAAACATGCTCCCTGGGCATACATAGACAATCTACCCACTAATATTAAAAACCTGTTAGATATTCTTGAAAGGTATGGATATTTGTACAAATTTGTTACTTAAAAATCTAAATATAAACTATTGTAAAAAACTATTTAAGCTGTATTTTTTTATGTTATATTTTTATTTTATTTAAATTTATTAGTTTTAAGTTAATAAAACATGATGGAATAAAAAATGATGAAATACACATAAAAATTGGAGGAGACCATGGAGGTGGTTCATTTAAAATGAGTTACCAAATTGTAAACCAAGACCAACCAAACTCAAAATCAAATAGTATTGTATTCAGTACATTTGAAGCAAGAGACTACCGAACTAATCTTAAAGTAGGGTTATCTCGATATACATTACAAGTTGATGAGATACAAAAAATGATATGGCAGTAAGTTACTATTTCTAAAGAAATAAGCATTGATAATTTAAATAAAATTCAAATATTTTGTGTTAATTTAATATATTTTAATTGTTTTTAGAAATCATAATGTTCGTGTTTTTATATTTGGAGATTATGATTTCCTTTGCAGTGTATATGGAATCACAGGAGCGAGTGGTAGGTTTGCTGTACTTAAAGAAATTTTATGTTATTTGATGATAATTTTTTTTTAGTTATCATAAGTAAAAACTTTTGTAAGATTGAAAAATTAAAGTTTTAAAGATATAATTGTTTAACTCCATTCAATACTGTTACTTATGGTATTATAGGTCGACATTGCTGTCTTTTTTGTGATATAACGAAAGAAAGTATCCAGTTGGCTCCAATTAGTAGAGAGAATGGTGTTTCACAACGATCTCTAAAATCTTTAAACATTGATTTTAATCGATTCCAAAGTAGTGGAGGAAATTTGAAAAAGGCTAAGTTTTTCAATAATGTGATTAATGAAACTTTGTTTCACATTCCTCTAGACCAGGTAATTTATTTTTAGCACTGTATTTTAGTTTTATTTTGAGGATTTGTATGGCTTTAAGTGTTTTTAATAGTGTTTAATTTTATTTTTAGGTAGCAGTACCTGCTTTACATATATCTTTAGGAACCTATTTGAAGTTTTTTAACATGTTTGAAGATGAATGTCACTTGTTAGACATCAAACTTGCTGGAGAGCTTGCACTAAAAAATAATACAATTGGTAAAGATGATTTTGACAAATACATTAATATGCATATTCAATCAAATCTTATAAAAAGTGTTATTGAGGACTGTGATAATAAAATTACACTTTTACAAGACACAATTTCATTAAAAGTTTTATGTGAACCAGACAGAACAGAAGAAATAAGGAAAGTATATGCACCAAGAATACTTTACTATGATTTAAAAAAAACTGATAAGGTATTTATTATTTACGAAAAAAATATGAATTTAATTTAGACTTTAGTTAGAATTATATTTAACATAATTTTAGAAAGCCAAAAATATATCAATTTCAAAAATTTACAATACAATTACCTACAGTTTCTGTAGCATATATTTAACAAGAAAAATATTTTTCTAGATGAAAGAACTAAATTCATTAAATGAAGCAAACATTCTTGATAAAATTTCAGGTCCCTGCATTCAGCAACTTGATGAAATTTTAAAGGCTAATCAGGTACAAAGACAGGCTTATCATGGGAAATGCTTTGTTGGAAACCATGTTCACACAATGCTTAAGGTTTTTTTACAGATGTTTTATATTAAATATCCTAACCTGGTGGGTTGGTTATATCGATCAGATAAAATCTTTTTTTTTTTTTAATTTTTTGTTCAGACTGCTTTGAACACATCGGCCACCCCTGCGTTTTGTTAATAAAAATATTTCAAAATTATTTAATTTTACTTATATTTAATTTAGCCTCAACCTTTGCTAGATTTGTGCAACTCTATTCCAAAACTGATTTCAAATCTTGGTTTTATTGATACAGGCGTTCATTTACTCTCAGTTAATGTGAGCCAAAAATTTAAACAGTTGTTTCAATATTATTCCAAATGTCATAACTTGATGAACAGCTCACAATCATTTCAAGAAAATGATGTTCAGGAACTTGGTAGGTATTTAAAATCGTTTTACGCAAACTGTAGTTGAAGTTAGCATATTCTTTAATGCCATAATAGTTATTTTGAAAAACATTAATTGGTTGCTTTTTTTAGTTAGAATTTGAGGAATTTATTTAAAGAAATTCAATTAGGCTTTTTTTTTAAACACGTAAACTATTTAATTTTAGAATCAGCAATCTGTAATCTTATGGAATTTTATAGATCAACTTGGCCAAATGCATCTGTAACTCCAAAGATGCATTTGCTTGAAACACATGTTCTTCAATTTATTCAAAAATGGGGATTAGGCATTGGAGTTTATGGAGAACAAGGCGGAGAAAGTTTGCATGCTGAATTTAACAATCTTAATCGTTTGTTTTGTCATATGAAAGGTTGTAGCCGCTTGAAAAGCATGGTGAAAGAACATTATGTAAGAAACCATCCAAAAGCTAAAGCAATGAAGCCAGAAATTAAAAAGAAAAAATTTTTTTGATTTTTATGTGTGTATATAATATATATATATATACACATACAAATACACACATTCAACTTTGTTCTGAGTATCAGAGTGTTCTGGTAAACACATTATAATATTCTTGATTTAAAACGTGCACGCATTGTAAGTTTAAGGTTAACTTGAACTTTATGTAAGGCTTTCAGAGTAGAAAATTCTTCCATTAAAAAGCTAAAAAAACTACGCAAAAAATGTTACCAGCCTGCCGTTAAATGCAGTTAACTTTTTTTAAAAAAATGACAGGTTAAAACGAAAGGCATAGAATTTTTAGGCATGATTTATAGAATTTAAAACAATTGAACTTTTTAGTCAAAAAATTTTCAAACAAAAGATATCCCTCTAGTTAGCTAACAGATATTTTATTTTTTTTATCTAAAAAACCTTACATTTTGCTCATTAAAATTTTCTTTGTTTACAAAGATTCTTATTTATTTTTATGATTTACTTAAAACCTTCTAGAATGTAAGACTTTAAAAATATATAGTTCAGGTTTTTACACGAGGAATAAGTAATTGTTTAATAAAATACTAAATCAACGAATTTTAGTTATTTAGATAAAAACTACTTCGCCATTTTTTTCCGTAATTAAAAAAAAAAAAACAAATGTGCGCATGCTCACAATAAAATATCAGGCTTAAATCACCGTGTTCATGTGGCAAAAAATATTAAAGTATAGATTTTAAATACTTTTTCAGCCTCAATAACAACTTTTCCAACTTGATAATGCAAGTTTTCAAGCTTGTTATCTAATTTGCTTCAGTATTGAGGAGTCGTTGCTATGGTGTTGCTAAGGGCGTGATTTTTATAGGGTTGCATAAAAATGAATTTTAGTCAGCACATTCAATATTTGTATAACTTTCAATAATATATTTGAATTTATTATAAAATTTTGCATAACAAAAAGCTAAAATTTTAAAAATAAAACCTTAAAACATAAACCTTACAACTTAAATCTTTGAGGACGTCGAGGGGACTCTAGAATAGATATTAAAATTTTGTAAAAAATATTTTTACATAGTACTTTAATAGTGGAATAGGAAAAATTTCCATCCGGGTGTTTTGAAAAAAAGTTACATAGTGGACAACCTTTATAAAGCACTTAAGAATACATGCTCTAACAACTTTTTCGTCATTTAGTTTTTTTCCTTGACCTTAAAAGCTTTGGAACTCTCTCATATCTTCATGTTTTCCTAAACCCTACTACCATAAACCTTTCAAATCTTCTGTTGACCGTTTCTCTATTCACATTATTTTAATAACTTCCAATTTAATTAGTTAAAAAAAAAAAAAAAAAACTTAAATCGAGATAATAGAAATTTTTTTGAACAATCACTCAAAAACTTTACTAATAAAAGAAAGTAATAAGCTATAACATTTCATTGTAATTTTATATAACCCTCTAGACTTTAAAATATTGATAATTGTAAAACAATTAATGCTTATATAATACTGTTTAATGTTCTACCGATTGTACTCCAAATAATCCAGCATGTTTTGTTAAAGTAGACTAAATGAAAGAATATAGGAAACTGTACATAATCCATTACAAGCCTCGGCGGAAAGCGAGAGCTTTAGCTTTCGCTCTCGCCCATACTCCCCTAAATTGAGTTACGCTTGTTTTGCTTATATTCTGTTAACATTAACGTTACAAGCAAATGCTTGTAACAAGAGTAAAACTAAATTTTGTATTTAATAAGCAATTTATTTAATAAATAAGCAGAGCTCGCCCAATAACCGAAAACTCTTGTAAAAAGCTGTCTAGAGGAGCAGCTCGCATGGCTCGCTATGTTTATTTTATGAGAGCTTTTCTCCGCTCCCGCACTCATTTAATTCCGCAGAGGCCTGCAATTATGTATCAAAACACTTAATGGATCTGCACCAGGTGATGTTGGTTTAAGGATAACTGTTGTTGTGGAGCATGTAGAATCAACGCTACTTGTAGAATCAATAAAAACTATTTTTCTAGAAGTTTCCATTTTCTGAGCACGACGCATTATTGGTGTTGCTATAACAACTGCCCTAAAGTCACCTTCAATTTTGATATGAACTTCATGTCCCTAAAAAAAGTTAATGTTAAAAATATTACAAGCATTTATGATAACATAATTTTCTTATTTATTTATTCAAATGTATAATTATTGGCAAAAAGAGGTCTTCTCGCAACCTCATTGTTTTGAATTAATAGTTTCAAGTTTTTCATATGTAGGATAAATAACTAATAAAGAGAAATTTGAGAGGCACTACTTTTTTACCAAAAAATTATTATACATATATTTTTAGGGCTATGTAATGTTAACTTAAATTTCATACTTTGAGGCGTCAGTTGTTATTCATTATATAAGTTTTTATTTTTAAATTTGTTGTTTAGAAAAACGTTATGAATAGTATTATATAAAAGACATCAGAAAAAAAATATTTTGTGCAGCTGTTTCATGAAAACTTTTCATTACATTGTTATAAAATTGCATAAAACTAATATTTATTTTTCTTACACATATATATCTATATCATAGGGGGACTAACTTAACCACTTTTATCTTGTCTATGCTTTGAATTATTGTTGTAGTAACTTGAAGACACTTATTTATTAAACAGAAATAAATATTTAAGTAATCAAAAAATGTCAACAAAGTTTTCTTTATGTTTTTGAACAAGGTCTTTCAATCCAAATTGTAAAGCAGAAGTAGTAATTGCAAGAAAGCACACCAATGCAAAAAACAAACATGATAACATGATAAAATGAGGGTGTAAAAAGGCAGGGTGCCGTCAAATCAGGATTTTTCCCTTTGATTAATGATTGATAAACAATAAATCGATGGCTGGATGGTAAATTAAGACGGAAAGAATGACAATACTGCTCAATATTATTAAAAGAGAATTCAATAGTACGCTTCGTGAAAAATAAAAACAGATGCTTACTTAAGGTATTAATAAAGCACATTTGACCAAATTAATGTTAGATACAATGAAAATAAGAGATGACACTAACAAAAAGTTAAGTTGAGGGCAAAAATATCAGCCACTATCACCTGCTGCAGTTGGCATTAAAGAATCAACGGTATGTTTATATAAAGCTTTAACATTTAGTATCTTTAGCACTCATATAGCTAAATTGTATTTACACAAACTTTATGTATGTGTAAAATGATACTTGGCAATGTCTGTATAAAAAGCCTGATGGTATCCAATGATTCAGCAGCCTGCATAAAACATCTACTGGTAACCTTTTCAAAACATGGCATATCAGATAGCCATAGACTTTTAGCTGCTGTTAAAGAATTTGATGAGCACTTGAAAGAGTACAATAGTTAAAAACTTGCAGTCCTATTATTAGATGGGCACATTTTGAGATTTGATTATCATGTTGTGTCATTCCTTCAATCAAAATGAATGACTAATTATTAAACCAGTTAAACAAAGTTAATCATCACGAATATAGAATGGAAAAAGACAAAATGTTTACTGAGACAATTGCGTTAAACAAGGAAGCATTCATGCTTATTTTAGCCAATATATGAGTTAAATGGGCAACAAAACCCTCTCTGATAAAAGCTGAAAAGCGAGATGGTATAACCAATTAAGTTTTGAGATTGTATTCATGCAACAGGATAGAGCAGATAATTGTATGGAGACACTTGAATAGCCGTCAGTTTTATCCACATCCACCTAATTCACATCATCCACACAAGCAATTATTAGCCCTGGTTTCTCTTGCTCCTCCCCTAATAAAATAAGAGAATCAGTATTGTGTTGGAAAAGTTTGAAGGTGCTCAAACTTTGATTAAAAAGTTGCATGAAAAGATCATCAATTAGAAAGGATGATAATTAAAAAAGAAAAGTCTAATCTATAAACCAATTCGACACAAATAACTCAAGAGCATGGGTCCATGAATGGGTCCATGGAACAAGAGCAGGGGCGTGGAGTCATAAAAAAAAGTAACAACTCCGACTCCAGTTGTTGAAATTTTTTGAATACAACTCTGACTCCAGTTGTTGAAATTTTTTGAGTACAACTCCGACTCCAACTCCGACTCCAACTCCAAAGCAAAATTTTTGAAAAATTCTTTGAATTCTTAAAAAAATATTGCACAATAAGTTGAAATTTTTTTTTTGACAAATTTATGAAACATTTTTTGAGGTTTAGTATGAACATAAGGTTAATTGAATGTTTTGTACATGCATGTGCAATACCAAGAAATTTTACTATCGGAGTCGGAGTCACAATATTTTTAAAGCTAAAGACGTTTTGAGTTAAGTTAAAGACAAATAAAACAAAATAGTTAAATAAAAACAAAAAGTTTGAAAACAACTGCAAAATGCAGTAGAAAAAGAAGAAAAGAAAGTCTTTATTAAATGTAATAAAAACATTCGTAAAATAAAAAAGTTGAGAGAATGCCCAAAATACCACGATATTTTGAAATCCCAATGTAGCAAGTTAGCATGGGGTGTTGATGGAAAAAACCTACAATGATTTTTCCTACTGCAGCTTTGCAAAGAACATTGACAAATGGAACAAATAGCTTATTTAATGCAGATAGTGATTGAGAGAGCAATGAAAAATTTGTGAATATTGAGTTTATGTATAACTCAAACATTCTTCTGCAATGCTTCATTTTATAATTTCATGTTGTAATAAACCTTCTAGTTGTGTCATTTGACTTCTATGTTTGTTTGCTATATACACCCCAAAAACCTCATCACTACTAAGTTGAAATTGGATCAGTAATACCAAATATAATATTTATAATTGATTTAACCATTTGATTATTATCGGAAAGGACAGTCAAGAGCTTATAAAAAAGTCAACTTTGCAAACTGACAAAGCTGACACTTGCATTTTGCTGACACTGAAAAAAATGCTATAAAAATTAGAGAATATTTTCAAAAATGCTCAAAAAAATTACCTTAGGCTTTAAAAATATCTAAGTTTCATTAACTTAAACATTTAAATACAAAATATTTTCATTCTCATACTTATGTTTAAATAGGCCTGACAACAAGTTGTAGCCAAGCCGCGTGGTTTTTAGAGTGCTTTATTTTTGAGGTGCATATACCTGTAAATACACAGACCAAACAGATTAATAAATTAAAACCTGCAAAAACATCAAGCAAAGTAACATTTTCAATGGCCTTGATTTCCCAAACAACAGCTAAAAAGTTTATTAAGAATTCCAAAAAGATTTAATTACATTATCTTATTTTGTATTATTAAAGTTTAATTACTTTATATCCTCCTTTGAATTTGTTAAAAAAAAAAAAAAAAAAAAAAAAAACTTTTTAGCACTAGATAAGATACTATTTTTTTGCCAAGTACCCTAACAAATATATTTACCTTGTTTTTAGTAAAATTGTGTATCAATAAAAGATATCAGTTTACCAATAGGATCTGTGACTGTGCCAAAATGTTCTGCAGTATACTTGTGATGCCAATAATAAACTTGATTTAGTGTAGGATTTTCTCTAGCATCTGCTGCCATTCACTTACTAGTTATACCATATGTAATTGAAATTTTTTTTTCAATGAATTTCATGATTTACCTGGTGCCGTATCAATTGAGAAATATTTGTTAAAAGTTTCCTGAAATAATAAAAACTCAAATTTACTTATTACTGGTTTAAAACGTTTATTTATTGAAAAGGGATAGTAAATTTATATTTCATAGCCTTTTTAATTTACATTATTAATATTTCTTATATTATAATATTATATAATAATTATATTATATTATAAAAATATTACATTATAATAGTATATAATAATTTTATCTTATATGTCATTAATATTTCTTAATTTATATTTCATAGACATTAGGCTCTATTAAATGCTCCTTAAAAAGTGTTTCATATATATGTTATATTCATATATAAGTGTTTCATATATAGTATATTGCAAAAAAAAAAAAAAAGGTTACCTGTAATCCATTGTTGCTTTGAAGAAAACATAGTGCATCAGCAGAATTAATGCTGTGATTGTGCATTTTAAAAATTTTAACAATACACGCAAGAGGTTCTTCTCTGCATGAAAATGTGTCATTTTTATTAGTTGCGCTGTTCACTTTTTAAACTTTAACATCCACTTTTAATAGACAGTATTACGATAACTTTTTTCATTTGATTTGCTTTTGTTATTATGTTATTATGTTATATGTTATATGTTATTATCTTATGAAACTGAATATAATATAAAAAATATTATGTATATTTATTTATTTGAAAATCAAAATTCACATTAAGTATATTATAAGGACTTTAAAATGCTATAAAAAAATCATTAACCACCTAAAAGTTTTATGTATTATTAAAAAATTTTAGGGCACTTTTATTCAAATATTAATGTGGACTTGGCCACACAAAAGTGTTTTATGACCTTTTTAATTTATTTCTACATATATTTAAACAAATGCTTGAACTATTTAAAAAAAAGGAATAATTAGACTACCTAGACTATTTTTTGTAACGCATTTGAATATAACTGATTACTTGAAATTATGCTAACAGAAAATAACTCACCTCTTGAGTTGTAGATTTTGTTGAATAATAAATTTCATGTTGTTTGCAGCTCCAAATTTTTCCATCCATTCCTCTGCTGCTTTATCAGAACTGTCAAATCTCAAGATCATGATTATGAAATTAAAACTGTAGACATATAAAAGATCAAAAAGATGCACAAATAAAAATAAAACAATCCAAATAATAACAAGAGAATGAATAAACAAACCAGTAATTGTAAACTGATTACAATTACTGTTTTAAAAATGTTAAAAAAATGTAGATGGCAGAAAAAAAAATGAAATCAATGTAGATGCAAGAATCAAAATTAAAAAATATTATTTATCTTAATACTTAATTTACTTTAAAGGTTAACATAAAACTAAATACTATCATATGTAATCAAAACTATAACTTGCCTGTCTGTGCATAGTTATCCAGCTGTTGTTTTGAGATAAATATTTGTTTATTAGTAAGTAATTTTCTTACTTTTGTGATAATTGTTAATTTATTATTATTATATTTATTATTTAAAATTTATTATTTTAAAAAAAGGTGGCCACATTTTTTTTTAAGTTGAAAAATTAAAAGAATTTAGGAGATTTTAAAAGCTTTTTGGGAGATTTTATCGGAAACCTTAGAAAAGTGAATACAAAAATTATTATTATTTAGGAGGATTTGAAAATTTTTTTAACAAAATTTAAATATTATTCAAAAATTTAAAAAAAAAATATTTGAAATTCTAAGTTGAATGTTGCAAAAAAAACTTAAAGTTCAAAAAACAAGCTTAAACTAGGAGCTTTTCTGGAAGTATTTTTGAAATTCAAGTATATTATAGGATAATTTAGGTCTTTTTAGAAAGTTTTTCAAAAATAAGAATATTTTAGTATTTATTAGGAGGCAAGCCCATCCTGAAATATTCAATATTTCATAGTATTTACTTAAGATTAGTTTTTAACTATTTGTAAATAACTTTAATTGTAAGACCTTTTATAAAAAAATATATTGATTGAGATTGTTAACTTTTATTAATAATAAAATATTGTTATACTATATATTTATATTTCTTCTATTTATTAGTTGTTATCATCAATAATAAAATATACTATAACAGGTATGTGACATGAAATTTTTAAAATAATTATATACTAGATTGTCATGGGTAATTCCATGTCAAATTAGCAGAAAAAAACAAAAAATGTCACCCCATGTTTTGGATTTTGCTAATTTTTTTTATATGTTAAAGGATTTACAAAAATTAAGAAAATCTGAAATTTGAAACCTCCAACTCCTTACGGTTCTTAAAATATCCAGGATTCAATTTTCTTATTTATGCTGGCTCGTTATTTTTTACAAAATACTTTTTTGTTATTAAATAGCAATATTTTATGAACCAAATGAGGTATCACCCTGAAATTTTATGCATAGACAATCTTCCACATGCCGAATACAATTTTTAAATTAAAAATTTTTTTGAACACCATTATTACATGCAAATTAGATAATAAAAGCATATATTTTGGGGTATTTTGGAGGTCAAAATGATGATGTTGCCTTAATAATTTTATTTAGGCATGGCTATAACTTACAATATAGGTATCAAACATTGCTATTAATAAAAAATATATTACTGCAATTTTCAACTTTTCTAAATGCAGCCTTTTAAATAAAGCTTATACATATGCTGAGTCAGCATAAAATTTATTGCTAACTTATTTATGATAAAAGTAGCTATATCTTAATTTTATGTTGTAAAAAGATATTGTTAAAGTCTTTTTGAGGGCAATAATAAATTTATACTTTATTTATTTATTTTTTTGTACCTGGGGAGGGCTTATGGTTTAAAGGGGAGGGGGCAAATAAGCATTTTACCAACCTCCCTTCCCTTTTTTTATTTATTTTCTGTTAAAAACATAAAGACAAGTGACAAGGAGAACTTTGTAGCCAAATCTTAACTAAATTTGAAAAAATAACACAAATATAAAAATAATAATGCATTAGAAATTTTTCTATAAATCTTGATTATTTTTTTCAATAATTTTTTCTAATTCAGACTCTGAAACTTTATATATGCGATCATTTCTTGTAGTGGCTATGGTACATAAAACATGACTTGATAGGACCCAACACATATCTTCCTGTGCAAGCCAAAAAAAACTTGGGCTGGGACCATGCGGATGCATAAATTGAAATTTATAATCTCCTTCTCTTTTATCTTTTTTGTTTATAATTCCAATCCACCAAAAATTTTAATAATTGTAAGCTACATAATCCATATGATTATAAATAACCTGCTGCACAACCAGCTCATTTGGTATCTGCACAGGGTTAAATTTAATAAAATCAATTTGTTGACTCATCCTTTTAAAAGAAATTGTACATTTATTAATTGGTATAAAATGGTGGAAGCATCTTGTTCCTGGCAAGGTTCTTCCCATAATAAATCTTGGTTGTAATGATAATAGAACTTCATTTATTTCTGTTTTATAAACCAAAATGAATTGTATGTTTTTTATATTGGTTACACAAAATTCAAACATATTATCTACATCTAAAATCTGTCCAGTAATTGTCCTTTTTAAACTGGCTTTGTGCAGTCTTTTTACTGTGCCCCCAATATCATCAAAAAACCATTCAGCATCAATATCAAAGTATTCTTTGTGATGGCAAATAAATAATAAAATTGCACATCCATCTTTGAAGTATTTAATAATACAAATTTGTTGAATGTTTGCTTTAATGTAATTGAAAATGAGCTGTTGTATTATATATACAAAGTATACATCATGCTCAACGTTATCAGAAAGAAAGCAAAATGACTTAGATATCAGTTTACCATTTGATTTGTAGTATATAATAATAGGATGTCTACATTTTGGTTTATTCCAATGGTAACTTTGCACCTCATCCTGAACAATAAATTGAAAGTTTTCTGCAAAGTCATCCAATATTATACACTCATTGTGATTTAAAAATTCTTTACAGTCTTTAAGGTACTTGGCCTGACTTTTACCTATAAATAAATGAAATGTAAGTTTATCTATTTTATTGCCTGAATTTTAACTTTAAATGAATGAGATGTAAGTTTATCTATTTTATTGCATATATAAGGTCAATAACATTTTCAATATTGATTTTTTCGATTGATCAGTATAGTTCTTTCATTGGTTAATTGTTATTTCTTTATCACTGTTGTCAAATTTTCCTGTTAAGAATTCTTTTAAAGCAGTAATACCAGGATATAGTAGACATCAATGTAACATACACTCTAGATTATCCCAATTGCAAACAATCATTCCCATTATTTCTCTATTTAACTTAACATTCTGATGATATATACAGGCACAAACACTGTGAGTGCCAGGCGAGTTTGTGGTTACACACTATCTTGGGCGAAGGCTGCAAAACTTTGAAAATCCAAAATTTAAATATTTAGAGTGTTCAGATTTAAATGCTTAATGAAGTTTTTTTAAATTAATCAATATTAGCCTGTGTTGCCTGTATCCTATACTGACAAAACCTTTTATTCCAGACGTTATTTCTGTGTACTCGCCACTTTGATAAAAGCTATGAACTAAATAAATGGTTTCATGGAAAAGCAACTTTCCTTTTTTTGATGATGGTTTATACAAAAATCCATACTTTTTTTTAGCTTTTCTAGCCTCTCGTGTAAGGTAAATAGATACATTAAAATTTTTTGCAGATTTTGGGAGTGATCATGATTCTGGAGTTAATGTTAATATCTGTATTTTTGCGGAGTATGATGTCACATTTTTTAGTTTATTTTTTAATTCATTTAAAAGTGAGATCGTCAATTTTATGGTTATCAACTGAAGAAGGTAATGGTGTACAAGATGGTGTCAATCTAATCATGGGATCAATATTATAAACTTCATTTATCTTGTTTAATGTTGTTTCAACTATTTGATCAAATTTTCTTTTGGCAGCTGGTAACCTGGTAACCGTTGATGTTTTGGCACTGATTTAAGCTTGATAGGTGACACACCTATAGATTTAAGACTTTCATTGAGAGCTAAACATTGTTCATGTTCAGACTCAACCCTGCTATAGCATTGATCATTTGATTCTAGTTTTTTATTTATACTCTGTACACTTTTGTAACAACTACTGCATAATTTCCACCCAGGTACAACAAGAATATTTTGTGTTTTAGAAGTTGTAGCTATTGATAGCGATATCTTCACATTTCCTATATAAACAAAAAACAAAAAACAATCATTTCTAAAAACTAATATCAACTAAGCATCATAGTAAAGAACATATTAGTATATTTATTAATTTACAAAACAATTAAATTTATAAAAATACTTGAATTTTCTTCTTACAAAAAGCATTTAGTTGTCTTATTATTTCTTTAGTTTATTTAATTACTATTTAAACCATCAAAACATTATCAAAAATTAGCTTTTATGTTTTGCTTCTGATTTCCTTTTTTTTCAAATAGATAACATGTAATGTAATGCTGTATACAGCATATCTGAAATTTTCTTTCAAATGCAACTCCAAAGTGTTCTCTATGATAATAGCAAAATGTTGTAAACAATTTTCCAAAATCAAATAAACCAGCCCTCCATAATAACCTTTTTTTTTATCACTTGAAAATGTTGATAGGTCTAAAAGACCTTGTCTTCTTGTTAAACCTTGCTTGTGACAGTCAACACAACATTCTAATCCAATAGAACACTTTTCCATATTTTCCAACTTTTAATTTTATTCATAAAATCTAGTTTTGAAATATTTAACAAAATAAATATTTTTTAGAAATACCATTAACATTATTTAGTAAAATATTATTTATTAGTAAAATATTTATACATTTTATTATAATATACATATAATTAGACGCACCATTTTATATAATTTCCTCTTAGGGGTCGTCCATAAAATACATCACGCTATAAGGGGGAGGGGGAGTTGGGAGTTTTGTGACGACTCATACAAAACTTGCTTCTTAAGTGTTACGATTTTGTGATGAGAGGGGGGGAGGGGGGGGGGGGGGGGGAAAGGTCAAAATCTGTCAAAAAATGCGCGACGTAATTTATGGACGATCCCTTATATATGATTAAAGGGTAACTAATTTTTATTTTATTAACAGATCACATAGTAATCATTTAACATTTATTTATTAGTTAAGTAAATATAAAAATTCTGCAAAGTAACAGGAAACTAATATTTACAACATGAAATCAGAAGCAACAATATAATAATGAGGAAATAAAATTTTTAAAAGAAAAAAAAAATGCTTCAATAAATAAAAATAATATTTTTAATTATTGCCCCATAAGGCCTCCAAAAAACTTAAAAGAAAAATTTTTAACAAAACAAAATTTTGAATTTGGGAAAAATAATTAATTTGGAAAATATAATAATTTTTTTTTGGGAGTGGGGACAGGAAAAGCCTGATTCCCCCTCCCTCTCCCCATACTTTGAGCCTACCCTAGGCACAAAAAAATATATAAATAAATTATAAATTTATTATTACCCTCACAAAGGCTTTAGCAATATCTAATTACAATATCTAATTACAACATAAAATTAAGATAAACTAATTTCGTCATAAAAAAGTTAGCAATAAATCTATGTTGACTCAGCATATATTATATTATTAAGCTTTACTTAAAAGGCTGCATTTAGAAAAGTTGAAAAATGCAGTAATATATTCTGATAATATGAATACGCTAATTTAATATTATTATTATTAGTCGAGTTATGTCATTTTCTAGGCTTTTCTATTTTAAAGTAGTTTCTAGGCTTTTTTATACGCGTTTTTTTTTTAAATTTTATTTACTAACAACGCGTATTACGGGTTGCTTACTGCTAGTTTTTGTTAATAGCGATGTTTGATACCTATAATGTAAGTTATAACAAAGCCTCAAAAAAAAATTATCAAGGTGACACCACCATTTTGACCGTCAAAGTACCCCAAAATATATGCCTTTAACTATCTAACTTACATGAAATTATGGTGGTCAAAAATATTTTCAATTTGAAATTTGTACCCGCCATGTGGAAGATTGTCTATGAA